TCCTAGAGATCAAAAACACTGTTACATAGATGGAGAATGCCTTTGATGGGCTCGTTAGTCAACTGGACACGGCAGAGGAAAAACATCTGTGAACATGAAGATATCTCAATAGAAATTTTCATAACTGAAAAGCAAAAAGAACAAAGACTGAAAACAAAACTGAACATCCAATAACTAGTCCTACTACCAAAGTGTAACACATGTATAATGGGAATATCAACAGAGGAAGAAGAAGAAGAAACATTTGAAATAATGATGACTAAGGATTCCCTCAATTAATATCAGATACCAAACAACAGATCCAGACAGCTCAGAGAATACCAAGCAGGATAAATGTTAAGAAAACTATACCTGGGCATGTGATTTTCAAACTATAGAAAAGTAAAAATAAGGCAAAAATATCCTGAAAGAATCCAGGGGTGGGGGGGGGGACACCTCTCCTATAGAGGAGCAAAGCTGAGAATTACATCCAACTTCTCTTCAGAAGCCAATCAAGCAGGAAGAGAGTGGAATGAAATATTTAAAATGTTGAGAGAAAAAACACCACCAACCCATAACTCTGTACACTGCAAAATTATCCTGCAAAACTGAAGGAGAAGTATTTTTTTTTAAGATTTTATTTATTTATTTGACAGAGAGACAGCGAGAGAGGGAACACAAGCAGGGGGAGTGGGAGAGGGAGAAGCAGGCTTCCTGCAGAGCTGGGAGCCCGATGCAGGGCTCTATCCCAGGATCCTGAGCCGAAGGCAGTCGCTTAACCAACTGAGCCACCCAGGAGCCCCAGGAGAAGTATTTTTTAAGATGAACAAAAATTAAGGGAACTTTTCACTGGTAGGCCAGCCTTTAAAAAAATATTGAGGGCGCCTGGGTGGCTCAGTCGTTAAGTGTCTGCTTTCAGCTCAGGTCACGGTCCTGGGGTCCTGGGATCGAGCCCCACATAGGGCTCCCTGCTCTGCGGGAAGCCTGCTTCTCCCTCTCCCACTCCCCCCTGCTTGTGTCCCCTCTCTCGCTGTGTCTCTCTCTGTCGAATAAATGAATAAAATCTTTAAAAAAAAATGTTGAAAGAAGTTCTTTAGAGAGGAGGAAAATAATATGGGTCAGAAACTCAGGTCTATAGATAGAAAGGAAGGACATTAGAGAAAGAATAAGTAAAGGTAAAATACAAACTTTTATTTCTCTTATCCTTAATCAATCTAACATAACATTTTGTCTGAAACAATAGTAGCAACAATATATTCAATTATATATGTGTGCATATATACATATACACATAAATATGCCTCTATATAGTGACATGAATGACAGCAATGATATAAGAGACAGGAGGACAGAATTAGGATTGTTTTATTACAAGGTATTTGCACTACCCATGAAGTGACAGTTATTTGAAAGAACACTGGTTTAGTTGTAAATGTATATTGCAATCATTAGGCAAACCACTAACAAAGAAAGGGAAAAAAAGGAAATATAACCAATATGCTAAGAAAGGAGAGAAAATGGAATCATATAAAATGCTCAATTAAAGCCACAGGCAGAAAAAGAGTGGAAGGAACAAAGTACAAGGGCAACACATAGAAAATAGTAATAAATATGATAGACTTTACTCCATCTATTCAGTTATCATGTTAAATGTCATTGGTCTAAATGCACCAGTTAAAAAGGAGATTATCAGAGTAGAACAAAAACTAAGACCCAACTATATGTTGCCTATAAGAAACTCATTTGAAATATGAAGGCACATATAGATTAAAAGTGCATGGATGGAGAAAAATATACTTTGCTAACACTAATCAAAAGAAAGTAGGAGTAGCTCTATAATTTCAGAGAGCACACACTTTATTTACAGCAAAGAAAGTTATCAGGGATAAAGAAGGGTATTATATAATGATAAAGGAATCAGTTCTCCACAATGCTCCTTAATGTGTATGTCCTTAATAAAGGCATCAAAACATGTGAGGTCAAAACTGATAGAACTGCAAGGAGAAATTGATGAACCCACTGTTAGAACTGGCGACCTTCAATCCTCTATCAAAAATGGACAAATGCTGGATCTCGCTGGCAGAAAATCAGTAAGGAAACAGCTGAACACAACAACACTATCAAGCAACCAACCGACTATAATTAACATCTACAGGCTACTTCATCCAACAACGGCAGGATACACTTTCTTATCAAGTTTACATGAAATATTCACCAACACAGACCACATTCTGGGCCATAAAACAGACCTTAATAAACTTAAAATAATAGAAAGTAGGCAATGTCTGTTTTCAGACCACCATGGTTTTAAACTAGAAATCAATTAACAGAAAGAGAACTTGAAAATCCCCAAACACGTGGGGATTAATCATCATACTTCTAAGTAACACATGGGTCAAAGAATAAATGTCAAGATAAATTTAAAAATACTTTGTATTTTTACAGAAATCAGTTGTAGCTAAGGTAAAACTCTGGTGGGGGATGTTGATAATGGGGAAGACTATGCATGTGTGGGACGGGGCGTATATGAGAAATCTCTGTGCTTTCTTTGCTTGAACTTGAAATTGCTTTAAAAAAAATAAAGTCTACTTAAAAAAAGTTAAAGGAGGGAAAATAGGCTGAAAGTGGTTTGAGGGGCACTTCTGTGGTGCAGGTAATGTTCTCTTTTTAAACTGTGTTCCTTCTGTACATTCATGAAAAGCTAACGAACAGTAGACATTCATTTCAGCCCTTAAGAATGATTTGTATTTTGGCTGTGTTTGACTTCCAATGACATTAATCAATTATGTGTATTCTGAAAAAAGTAGTACCCTAATATGTGAGCTGATGTTGGAAATTGTTTTGATTAGCATAGTGTAGCACAGCATTTAATGGTCCTTAAGAAAAAGCCGCAGATTTCATTTCAAAATTTAGCATGAACATTTATTTGTCATTTTAATTTCATTTTTTAAATTTAATGTGCAATACAGGTTTTTCTTGCATATTATATAAATATATATGCATGTACTTTCCAAGAAACAGCATAGGCCTGCAATAAAAATAAGTGAGCAATAAGAAATAATTAAAATACAGTAAGAATAGAGCACAAAGGAACATATACAATGCTAAATTGCATAATTCAGACGAAAAGATATTTTAGTTTTGTGTGCTTCTCCCCATCCCCCCACCCCAAAAAGAAGAACTGAAGCTTTGTAGACAAGAAAACTTATGATGAATATAAATATTAGAAAATAAGTAGCACCTTTGGTCAATAAAATGATTGTCAACATTTATTTCTAGGAAGCCTAAGAGAGCATTTCTGATTTTGTAAATAAAACTAGTTAATATGTACCATGAAGTTTAACTGCTGCATATTTCAGAACTTGCATAGAATGTTTACTGATGGAATAAAAATGAAATCCTCAAAATAGAGTATCAATTTTTAGATAACAAAAATGCTACAGGTATTTGTTTTCTGTATCTTACTTTGAAAATTAGCTAAGAGAATTCCTCTAATATCCATTCATCTTGCATCACAGGATACTGTAGTATTAATTTAATAATCTAGATCCATTCATTTATTTCAATAAAGGAGGTTTTCTGTGCATGGCACTTTGCTAGGCATTAAAGCTGATACTACAACAAAGATAACATCCTTGTCCACAAGGAGCTCACGTTCTAGTAAGATAGAGATGAATTTGAAAGTATATTCAAAACTGCATGCAAAATATGTATTCCCATAAAGGAATTCAACATTTGGTTTCAAACTAGTTGTGCAAAGAAAAAGAAACTACAATTAACAGAGACGGTATAAATGAAAACTGAGTGGTAAATGATTCAGTAGTCAACAAGTTTGCTTAAAAATGAAGAAGTAGGAAAAAAATGAAGTAGGAACATATTGAACTGAATATACTTTTAAAATAATCAACAACATAATGTATTCCTGATTTAAATAATTCTAATTGTTTAAAAACAAAATATGTATTTGTATGAAAATCCTAGTTCTTTCATTTTGTTAAATTTTCCCCATGTTTTATTTGCCAAGTTCAGAACTACTGTATATGCAAAAATTATAGAAATAAACATATATTCCAAGATCAAATCACAATCACTTTAAGTACACTCATCTGTAAGAAGGCAAAAAGAAGTGCATTCTATCTTATATTTTAAAACTTTGGCATTTAAATTATTTCATACCATATTGATTTTTTGAAAAATGAAATATGTACAGCCATGATTTAGGTCATGTAAAAATAACTAACTGGATCATCTTAGGTGTCAAGCAAATCTACCCTTTCTCTTCATTTCCCTATCATAGTTGATAGACCAGGTGACAGTAGGATCATTTGTTCAGTGGTCCTTAAAGTGCCTGGAGAACAAACAAATCAACTACATTTTTTTCACTTAAAAATCATAAAAATACAGCCCAAGATACAACTTATATTTAAAAAAATAATTCTACAGATTAACCCCTAAAGAATGCTTGCAAAAGTTAGCTAGGTTGGCCATTGCCAAGCAATGTCTTCTGTCTTCTTAGCAACATGTCACTATGTGTAACTTTTATCCCAATAATCTTACTTTTAATATTTGCCCAAACTTATCAATGGGATAACAAAGAAATATTTGATGAAGAATATAAGTAGTAAATGTTTTCAGAAATTCCTCAGAAATAGGGAATAATTCATTCTAGGGAATACTAATCAATAGAGTAGTTTAAAATATTCAGAGGGAAGTGCTTTTAAATAAGAAGCTTCAAATCAAATGTAAATTTTAGCAAATATATCTTACTGTCCCATCTTCAACATAGGAATTTCTATACCTGACTCATATCTAAGTAATTTTGTGATCTCATTTTTATCATACTACCAAAAAGGGGCGTTCTATTGATTGACGTACTCACTGATGCTACTGAGGTTTGCCCTGTCAGAAAGACAAGACAAACGGAGTATGCATGGATGTCAGTTTGGCTGAATCTAACCAAAAATGTCACTAACTACAAGTACATCATGGGCCCTGTTCATGAAAGATTTTACTGTGACACATCAGTTTATCAAAACTTTTATTAAAGTATGTTCTTAGGGTGAATATCCTTGATGAATTAAGCAAACAAATACCGAGTACAGATTGTTTTTACACTTTTACAGAGCAAATTCCTAATAACAACCATTCTCCCCTTCACTAGGGATCTTTTATTTAGAAGTGATTTTTTTTTTCTGAAATAGAATCAAAACGGAAAATCTGAAAAAAAAATCTATCAAGATGGGGACAGAAGAAGATGGTATCACAAAGATTAAAGAAACTATAGTTCTACAATTGCCAGACACCTGTTGTCAGGTTTTATGTTAACTACATAGAATGACCATCTAATAAAGCAAGAATTTTTGAGATAGGTCTTATCCTAATAATTTTATTAACTCATCCTCAGATTCTTGGATCAAGAAATATTGTTGGAACATTCTTCTTAAAGCTATACAATGATGATAATTTCTTGCATACAACTTAATAATTTAACAAACTTGCATCACGTGTTCTGTGCTCTGGAATTAAATTTTTAGGAAACAAGTGAAAGATGCTTCTAAAATAAAATAGGAACATAAAGAAAGGAGGAATTAATGGAATGTTGACACACGATTCTATAAACACATTATTGGCGAGTATTTTTAATGACTTAGATATTGCTATAACAACATATATAGTGCAAAATCATTCATCCCACCAATTATTATGTCCAGTTTACTCAGAATTATCTACTGTGGGGATCATTAAATACCCTTCAAATTAAATTTACAAACATGATTTTGCAAAATATGACTCAGGAGAAATACACTCATTTTGGAAATAAAGGATTTATCAAGCAAGGCTAGAGTAAGTGTTTCCAGGTAAATATGTATTCAATCTATAAAGATTACCATTAAAATAGGATGGCTAATACAGTGCAATGGGGAAAAAGGTGGGTCAGGAATCAAAAGACTTGGGTTCTACTTCCTACCCTGCATTTACTCAAAAGATAGATATATGTTTAGGCAAAGCCCTTAACCTGTTCTAGTCTTATTCTGTAAAAATGTGCGTATCTAACAAACTTAATTTAGAGGGTTGAGAAGATGAAATGAATCAAATATATTTTTGATACATAAATATATCAAAACAAAATACAATACAAATCAAAATACAATTACATCTAATGCTTAGAAAATAAACACTCTAAAGATTTATTTATTTGAGAGAGAGAGAGAGAGAAAGCGCGAGCAGGGGGAGGGGCAGAGGGAGAGGGAGAGAGAACCTCAAGCAGACTCCACGCTGAACATGGAGCCCAACTCGGAGCTCAATCTCACGACCCTGAGATCATGACCTGAGCTGAAACCAAGAGTTGGACACTCAACCAACTGAGCCACCCAGGCACCCCCAAAATAAACACTTTATTTCATATGTCTTTTCTCACTAAATCCAGAAATCTTCATACTTTAGTTACAAATAGAAAGCATGTGGTAGAAAAATAAAGTCCTTTAAATAGTATATCCAAAATTCGTACTCTACTCTAATGCACAAGCTATATAAACTAGGTCTAACTTCAAAATCTTTTTTAGATGCATGTGAAAGTAAAGTAACAACCAACCCAGAATAAAAAGCTTAGAGGAATATGTTTCAAAATTCACCCTGAAATTCATATAAGAATTCCGATCTTTTGTTCATCACAGAACTTTTTACCTTATGCCTTGATAGAATATTGAGTAGCAGTGTTTTCATACAGAGCTTCTTTAGCTTATTTTGCCATATTTGAATTATAAACAAAAAAAGCTTGTTTTGCTATATGAAGAAAAAATATTTGCTGAAAGAGTAATTAATTAATCACCTACTGAAATACTCCTGAATGTTACTCACACTATTAACAAGTACATATGGAGACTGAAAAACATGGCATTCATGCACACAGGGGAAGCATAACTAAACCCACCAAAGGAACAAGAATTTTGTATTAAAAATGCCCAGAATTGATGAAAAATGCTTAAGAACCTGGCCTAGACATTGTGAAAAACAATGAAAAGAAAATATTTTTAAAAAATGAGAAAAAAAGGTGAGAAGGTAAGGTAGCTCAGGATTGGGATGGGAGAAATAATTCAGTCTAAAAAATTGCCATATGCTCTATTAACACCAAAAATTGTTTGCAATATTACTTTTCCTCTTAACACAGGGACCTAAAAGTATGATTCTCAGTACTATAACAATGTTTTCATGAACTGTTCATAAGTGAAATAAAGCGAAGGAAAGGCAGTGTGGGGGAAGACTAACATAAACCAGATTGCAGGATCTTGTAGGAGTTAAAAATTAAATAGTGTACAAACAACTGATAGCAAAGAAGAGAAAATGAGAACTACAAAAAATTATGTGAGCTCAGCAAATTGTTCATGTTTTAATTATCAACAAAGATAGTTTCTGATTTTGATTATATAAGCATTATAATTACTGATAATTGAGCCTCTCAGCTTTTAAGTGGAGGGAGACCATGCACATGGATGTGTAAAAATCAAAACCTAAAAATCAAAGTGAGTTGAATAAAGATTCTAATCTCAATTTATATCTGAATAATTTTGATGCTGCTTGGTACTATGAAGTGTTGTGGTAAGAAATCTACTTGGTAAGATGTATCCAGGATCTCGTTGCATTGAAAGAGCATATAGGATATGTAATGGTGCGGTGCTGTCCTGGTAAGCTTTGTTTCTCAAAGTCGTGAGGCCCTTTAAGAAGATTAGAAACATCCAGGATAGTTAGTACCAAGGACGGGAAGATTGATTTTTCTAGATTCCTAAAAATCACATTCATTTATGTATTTATCATTGCACAAGGAAGACTCATATTAACAAAACGTCTTCTAGATTATGAGCACCTTCCTTATCCAGGATACCTTAAGCCTCCAGTCACAGGAGTTCCTTCACTTGTGAAGTTGAGAGGTCATGGCCAAGAGTACATACTGTTGATTCCAGGAAGACAGCCATTCCTACAAATCACAACTAAATAAGACTAGATGCAGCACGTGTGATTTTGTGAAAGATGTAAGACACTAGAAGTACACCATCTAAAATAATGCTAAGGAGAACATTATTCTATGGAAGTCAAAAGTCTTAGAGGGAAAAGACAAAAGCAAGGATACTTGTTCTGTCTATAGACAAATGGACAGAGAGGACGATGGCAGTTACAGATGTTCAAGGAAGGCTGAAAAATGATTTAGAACGTAGGGGTAGTTGCATTAAATGATGAAAATAAATATATACTGTATAGATGAACCAAATCATTTATATCTTATAATCTTTTTAAGTTTCTTTGGTAGCTTGGATGATCCTATAAATGGGAATCCCTATAATTCTGAATATAATGTTTTGTATGAAGTACTTTTTGAGTCATAATAAGTAGCCACCAATATGGGAATTACTTATCCATAAAGAAAATAACATTTTTCTTCTAAATCCAACCTCAGGGAAAATATATTATCCCTGAGTCATATAAATATGTCATTATTTTTGTGCAGAAAGTCGTATTAAAACAATTATGGCTATTATACAATCATTACCACTATTTGGGGTAATATGCATTGGCTAGAAAAGCAGGCAACTTGAAATTATATATTCAGTTTACAGCAAAGTCTCTAATGAACGCTAAATAAATCAGAATACAAATTGCAGTTAAACCTAATTGGTTTACTGTATAGGGTTTAAATTTTTTGTATCTATATTTTATCTACCTTTGCTTCTATAGATTCTATTGAAGGCAGCATGCTAGTGAACACCCCAGGGGCTCTTTCTGCTTTTAGATAAATCTGAGTTTTAGTTCTGGTTCTGTCACTTACTACTTTCACTCGGGTAATTAGCTGAACTTTGTGTGTCTGATTTTGTTTTGTTTCTCTCATCTGTTATGTCAGGTCAATAGCCTCTACTTACAATTTGGTTTGGATATTAAAAGGTATTATGTAGGCAAAATATTAGTTCCTATTAAATGGAGCCTAACGATCATGATTTTTAATTTTGTTTTATTACAAGTGTGCAACGTTACACATATGAGAGGGCTTTTTTTTAAAAAGAGGTACTTTTGGATGGAAAATAATTTTCAATTAACTGATTAAGGATTTCTCCACGTTTTATAATATCAATATAAAAACTTAACATTTACATCATACATCTTTTTTCAGTATCCTCAATTGTCATGTGCAGCCAGAAAAGGAATAAAAAAAAAATCGAGATTTTTAAAATGCACATTCAAATATGTCAAACTTATTTTACTTATTTTCTAGTGTCCAGGGGTGGGGCATGAGATAAGACTGTTGGAACTTGATATTAAAGAAGTGAAACTCATGTGAATTTACACTGAGAAAACGTCATGTCTTCCAACGTGAAGTACACTAGAGCCTGGCCCAGTGCCTCTTAAATGTGTGTTGACTGGACCCCCCCCCAAAAAAAAAGCATTGGGAAAGAGGGTAGGGATTGGTCAGGACAAGTCTATAGCCAATATTGTATTCTTAAATTAATGAAGGCACATTTAAGGTTAAATTGTGAAAAATATGAGCTGCTAGTTATCACAAGCAGAAAAATACTTGAAGTAGCCAGTGATCATGAATTATTTTAGTGCCCTGGTTGATAACCTCCCTTCTTTACCATTCCCCCAGTGGGGGAATGGGACGAAAAGGAATTTTAATGGTGTACTCTGATTTTGCTTCATGACATCACTGATGACTGCACACACAGAGGCCAACTATACCTCTTCCTCTAGACTAGGTGAATGTTCTGAGCTGATATTCTCTTCTCGGTCTTTAAAGATTCTCTGAAAGCAACAAATATTCTCACAGGTTCAAGGGAGTGGAGAGTGTGAATGACTAGAAAATTATTTTACCCTGGAACGATTCTCAATCCTGTATGTGAGTCTCTGTCGCTGTTTCAAGTGTGTTCTAAATTAATTTTCAACATTTAATATAGGAATTAATATGTGTGCATATTTGTAACTTTGTGTAGAGCTGTTGCGAAGCATGGCTGTATACATATCATGTGCTTTGAATGTGCAGTTTTACTTCCCTTTCTTTTTTGACATTGTAATATACAGTGTTAGAAATAAAAAGTTAATGGAGATGACCAAAAACCAACAGAACTGACGAAAACCTCATCAGTAAGTAAATAAACCTCCTTCCATGGAGGAAGGCACTGGAATGCACCCACCAGCTTGTCTCTACCAGCAGGTGACAAAAAGGACTAAAGCCGTGGACCCAAAACCCCACTATCATTACTTTGCTGTTTACTTGCCCCTGGGATCTGATATGTGTATTAATTTAAATATGTATCCTCAGAGAATTGAAGACTTTTTGGAAATGTTTAAGATTGGAGAGCTACTACACAACTTATGATGTTGCATTTCTTATGATGAGTCAGAGTTGAATACAAAAGGACTAAAAATATGAAAGTAGCTCATTCAAGACTCAAGACTGGGCAAAACTAAATTAAAACAGCCATACACTGCCACATTTTGCCTAATTTATTTACCTATGGTATTGGCACAAGTTGCTTTATTTCATATTTAAAAAATACAAATTCCTCTTCATCTGCTAACAAAATGAATGCTAAATGAAATATGGGACTTCTTATAGCTTCCTAAATATGAGCCACATGCTTAACCAGTGCATAAATTTTACAAATCAAATCCTTAATGTTAACTATTACAAAAGCTTGGGGTCCAGGTGCAATCTTATAGGAAATAAGATAGCATCTGCCTCCACTGCAATTAAAAAAAATGAACAGCAAATTCCTTTTGACATCTGAAGAGTAACATCACTTCAATAATCAAGCACTAAATGTTTTTTATTAATCATACTCTTAATTTAAACTTCAGATTTACTGATGTAAATACTTATAACTTTAGCCATAAGGCACAAATTCTTTCTTGTTTAAAAGTATTGTATTACTCTAAGTGGTATTTATAGTTCTGAGTGCACAGTAACTATCACATGCCTGAATATTCAAAGCTGATTCAGATTCTCAGATGTTTTAACATTGTTATGAAAATGAGAAACTGCTAAATTAAACTGGCCGGCAATGTTGCAGGCCTCTTGCTATCGTGTGATTAACTATGCCTACCTACCCTTCCCAAGTGTGTATACAGAGTTACGTGCAGTCTCCAGTTCTAGAAACCTTTTCTAACAGTCTCCAGTCTCCCGGTTATGTTCCCAGGCAGGAGGAAGTCTCACCAGGACGGGGTGGGATTTTGAGGTGCTGCCATTCCCCACAGCGTGAGGAATTTCAGTGGCTGGGTGAAAGGCCTGTTTGGATTTCTGTGTTTTGCTTTTGCATTTTAGGGAGGGGCGAGAAATGACAGAACGGAGAGGGCTCAGTATAAGCACCTCTCCCTCTTAGTCAGCTTTACTCAGATCACTCATAGCAGTAATCCTCTGATCACTGTTATGTGTTGGGAAAAATTAGAATTTGGCTTATTTGCCAGCCTGTCAACCACGATTCCAGTAAATTCCATCTTGAAGTCTCAGTATGACAGTGAGTCTAGACTGAGTTCTGATTAAAAGAAATCCCTGGTTATTACTTTCTGGATTAGTAACAAAAATCCTTTTAAAATCAATGAACGTAGCTCATTGTGAGGAGTCACTTAGGCTTTTAATTTGATTTACATATTAAGTAAGAATTCTGAAAATTATTTGAGGGTTCTATTCTCTAGCACCAGGTACTAATGACTGTCCTCAAAGAAATCATGTGCATGGATTAATCAAATCTAACAGTGCGCAGAATTAATGGTTTAAAATGGAGGGTTGTTTTTTTTTTTCAAATTTATTTTATACATGCAAATTTTTTTTTACACAGTTAGTTGCATTTTCAAATTAAGATCATTCTCATTTTCACCCATGTTCTTATCTTTAAAATTCACACTGTAAAGTAGTATGCAGATATAACACATTTCCTCATTCTCCATGGATTTATTTTTAAAGTTAAAAAAAGTGGTAATATTCTTTTTGAACTTACTTTTGTTCGCTGGATACTCCATGCACGTGTGTACATATAGGTGAGTGTGTGTGTGTGTGTGCATGTGCACACCAGAAGAAAATTAATTTTCCTTCAATTCTATTTAACACTAAAAAATGAAATTTGGACAGGGTATTCTTATAGGATTAAACATACGCCTTCTAACTACTTAAACCAGAGGTTTGGAATTCCGATCTCTATAACCAAGACTGGAAGACTTTAAAATTATTTTAACCATGACAACCAGAATCATGTATGGAAATAAACCCATTGCATGGATTCTTTATAGGCATAATCTCAAAACTGGACTATCCAAACAAGTGTTAAAAAACAAACTTATAAAAATTTGCCATCGAGGAAAATCTCATCTCCGTTCTTCATTATGACTCCTCATTTCAAGTAAAAACTTCCCCAATATTTTGAAAAAAAAAAAAAAAATACTCCTAAGAAAGTCATAAACACTGAAATCAGAGATGTGATTCTTGTTAAATATTAGTTTCTCTTTCTGAGGAATTATTCTCTGTTCTTGTACTTTTGACGTTAACATCATGATGGTTAGATTTGTTCAAGGGCTCAGACTCTCTGGACTCAGGTGTATGCAGTTTCTTCTTCCTTTCTTCTTCCTCCTTTTCCTTTGCAAGCAATCTGTAGTTTATAGCGTTGCCGATCAGCAGCCACACACTCGATAGGAACACAATAGCCCCACAGGCTATATACATGTATTTATACTGTCCAGTTTGATCCACCAATTTCCCTAAGAGACAGAGAACATCTTTTAAGACAGAATAATAAAACAGCTGTAAAATGATAACATTTTCCAATAAATTCTTCCACAAAATATGTACCCATTTCTTATTTAAGTTAATATTGAATGAGTTTTTAACAAAAAATATTCTAGATTATGAATTTTATGTATGCATAAAAAAGGCATATATGTATACACAGCATTATATTACCAATATATTAAATTTATTAAAGATTATTCCCCTCAATAAAAATGTACAACTAAGACAAAATAGGTATATACCTTTTTGTGTGTATATTCATAAATACATGTATGTGTGAGGCATGTTTTTTGTATCTATGTGTATATAAATAGATACATTTATCTATTAACTTTTATACATTGAGAGTGCTTCATCCTTTCCATGCTTCTTTTCAATAAAAAGGAAAAAATTACATTTTTTAGGAAAGACCCAAAGGCTTATTTAAGGTTCTGACAGGGCATAATATTTACTCAATGTTTTTTCTATGCCTACCACTAGGCTAAACACTTTTTTTTTTTAAGATTTTTAATTTATTTATTTGAGAGAGAGAGCAAGAGAGAAAGCATGAGTAGGAGAAAGGGGCAGAGGGAGAGGAAGAAGCAGACTCCCTGCTGAGTAGGAAACTCAATATGGGGCTCAATCCTAGGACCCTGGGATCCTGACCTGAGCTGAAGGCTGAGGCTTAATCGACTGAGCCACCCAGGCACCCTTAGGCTAAACACTTTTAAATGAGGTAATACCTTATTTAATCCTTACAAAATCACTATGAAGTAATTTGATCATAGTTACATAGCCAGTGAACGGCAGAATCTGGAATCTAATCAAGGTCTATCTGAATTGCAGTTTTTTTGTTTTTTTTTTTTAAAGATTTTATTTACTTGACGGAGAGAGACACAGCGAGAGAGGGAACACAAGCAGGGGGAACGGGAGAGGGAGAAGCAGGCTTCCCGTGGATCAGGGAGCCTGATGCGGGGCTCGATCCCAGGACTCTGGGACCATGACCTGAGCCGAAGGCAGACGCTTAACGACTGAGCCACCGAGGCGCCCCTGAATCTCAGTTTCTTCTTTTTTTTATTATTATGTTATGTTAATCACCATACATTACATCATTAGTTTTTGATGTAGTGTTCCATGATTCATTGTTTGCCCAGTGCTCCATGCAGAACGTGCCCTCTTTAATACCCATCACCAGGCTAACCCATCCTCCTACCCCCTCCCCTCTAGACCCTCAGTTTGTTTCTGAGTCTATCATCTCTCATGGTTCATCTCCCCCTCTGATTTCCCCCACTTCACTGAATCTCAGATTCTTAACTATTCTTCAAAAGAGCTTCACCATACCTCTTGGTTAAGAGTCATATCATAACTTTTTGGGCTAATCACAACTTTTTAGTTTATCGAAATCTAAATTATTAAGGCCACACTAATCAGGAAGAAAGTATTTATTACATTTGATTATTTAGACATTTAAAAACTAGCCTGATATCATATAACCTGAAGATTTATTGACTCTTTTTTTTTTTTTTTAGAGAGAGTGAGTGAGAGTGAGCCCTGGTAGGGGGACAGGGAGAGGGAGAGGAAGAGAGGGAATCTTAAATAGGCTCTATGCCCAGCACGGAGCCCAATGTGGGACTTGATCTCACAACCCTGATATCATGATCTGAGCCAAAACCAAGAGTTGGATGGTCAACCAACTGAGCCAGCCAGGTGCTCCGGTTCATTGACTTTTAAAAATATTTCAGTTTATACTTAATTTTGCCTCTTGCTTATACAGGCACCTAATTCTTAACAATGACAGTGTATGCAAATCCATATTATTTATTATATGCATATTTGAGGTGATTCTGATATAGGCCTGTTTCTTTAATCAGAATCTCATTCATTCTGGCTAGAATCTAGTTAGCAGCTCAGTATTAAATTCAGCTACTTGTGAAACTGCCTATTTGAACGAAGTTCTCTGTTTTAATTAGTTAAATGGTGGAATGGGCTTATTTGAGTGTGCCATATACACACACATAACAAAAATGCACAATTTAAATTTCTATTCTAGCTTTAGTAAAATATTTTTATTCATACAATGATTGTTACACCTCTAAATACATACACATTAGGTCTGTGGCCCCATCAGAGTTGATACCACTTTGGGCTGCCATATAAATATACTTTCTAAATGTCTGGGGAATTTTTTAGCATCATCAAGAAGCCAGGTATGATTTCCAGAACTAAAGCTTCAGCTCTTGTGAGTGCAGCAGTGAAAACGTGAGCTGAAAAAAATAAAACTAGAAATGGTACTGTATCTTCCACTGCTCTGCTAACAAGAGTAGCAGCCCCAGCAAGAGTGTGAGAAGTAACCACAATGGTACTCATTTACCGAGTGCCTACCATGTGCCGGACACCATTCTATCAGTGATCAGATGCTACAGAGAAGAAGCCAGTCCAAAAGTCAAGGAGGATCAGGGAGAGCAGGAGACAGAAACAGGATGAAAAAAAATGGACTTATTATGGCTACAGCCTGAGAGCTTCAACAAGGAGCCCCAAATTGATTCCTGCCATTGCCCCTACTCGTGCAATGGTTTGGCAATATTAACACAAGAAGCACTCAAGAGCACTGAAACCGATGTAAATGTTATTAATACAGGTTCTCAGCACAGGTAGGAATAGTCAAATCAGATTCCTTCCTTTTCATCCTTAGAGCCCGCCCACTATGTCTGTTGACCTGATTTAATTTTTTTTTTTAATCCCACCATCGCTGGTGAAATACAATTTTCTCTGTTGATACTAAAAATTTTGCTGCTAATGAATAGGCTTCTAAAACACATTTGGTAAAACCCATTCTGTAGGAAAAGATAGGTCAGTTGTAGTTGTCTTACGCAACAAGATCAATTAGCTGATAAATAAGACCGACTGGCTTTCGTTCTTCTTGAAAACTGTTTTGGTGCCATAGTATATCCAATATTAAAAGATATACCACCCAAAACATCTGCGCTAGATACAAAAGGACAGCCCTGGTAGGTAGAAAAATTCAATAACTATGCCATTCCTGACCAAGTGAAAAAGCAAGGCAAAACGTCAATGATACCTAAAGATCAACAAATTAAATACAAATATTCCCAACTCAAACTGATTTCTTGATGTATGGAATTGTTGAATCACCATATTGTACACCTAAAATGAATGTAACACTCTGTTAACTATACTGCAATTTTAATAAGTGATACCTTGAAGTCATATAGGGAAACAGTTTAAAAACTGGAGAAATTTACTTTTAGCCTGGCAGTTACTGTAACCACTAGGGGTCAGGCCAAGAGCCTAAGTGAATACCTATGTTTAGTATTAACCAAAACAATGTCCTCGAAAAGACTGGCTCACAGAACGTTTTTAATATTTATAACATTAAAGTCTAAGACTGAACAAAGTCTTAACTTGAAAAATGCACTTACACATGTGTCGTGGTCTCCTTACTGTGTAATTTAGCACAGATATTTTCATAGGCATCACTGAAAATATTTCAGATCTTAAAATCTATAGGTAATCATTACAATTTATAAATGTGGAATATATCTGTTCAAAATGAGTTTCTTTTCCTTACTGCATTTCATATATATATATATATATATATGGGTATATATGTACATATATATGGGTATAAATATATACATATATTTCTGTCGGCAATATTATAAAAGTATGCTATCCTTAGGAATGCAACATATTAATATAACCAATGTACTCCCAATAAAAAAATAGATCCTGATCTTTAGTATCATTATTTTAAACTTTTGACTCATTTTAATATAAGCAGAAGAGAAATTTGTTCAATGATAAAATGAAGAAAAAGTGGAATTTTATTATTATGACACATTTTTTAGAAGCGTAAAACAATGGATATGGGTAAAAACCTGAAAATTATGTTACTAATTATCAGTCTAACTTAATTTCTTAAGTTCATAGGTCCTGACTCTGAAGGAAATTTAGGTCTAAAATCAACTATTTATGAAATTTAAAAATACATACATAATAAAACCTAAAATTAACACACCCACAGTCTTTCAGGCTATTAGTATTTATTATTACAAGCCACAACATACACTACAAAGAATGTCCTGGCTAGTTGATATTCATTTTATGCTTTTTGCTTTTCTGGATGAGAATTATTCTTACCAGCAAGAGGAGGACCAAGAAGAACGGGGCAACACTCCACCACTGTGACAAGTCCTACAGCACTGGAAAACCTTTGAGGGCCAACCAGGTCCATGAGAGTTTCAAAGAGGACACTGCTAACACTCCCAAATCCAAGACCAAAAAATATAGCATATAACACCAGGCTTGGGTAGTCCTCTGCCAATGGGCACAAGAGATGGCACACTCCATTGAACATGACTGCAAAACTGAAGAAGTACTGGATTCGGGGGCGGATAAGTTTGGAGTTTGCAATGAGTCCTCCAGCAGGTCTAGCAAACATATCAACAAAAGCCATAATAGACAGCAAGAAAGCTGCAGAATACTCATCAATTCCTTTGTCCTTAGCATATGGAGCCAAGAATATAATGGGGGCAAAAAACCCTAGAAACATAATGACATTTCCAGATAAGTATATCAGAAATCCCCTATGCTTAAAAAGGGAGAAATCTAAATACATATTGACTTTCTCCCATGCTGATTTCTTCTTATGGCTTTTCTTCACACCTGAATCATCCATTCTTATGCCAATCTTATTTTTAGACTTATTGGTAACTTGTTTGGGTTCAACGGGTCTCATGAGAGACCCAGCCACACAGGCATTCAACAGGATACCTCCCAAAATCAAGAAGCTTCCTTTCCAGCCAAAAGTATTAAAAAGGTACTGATTGAAAGGAGCCAATGTACTTAAGAAAACAGGACTTCCTGCCATGGCAAGGCCATTAGCCATGGGTCGTTTCTTATAGAAGTATTTGCCAATGATCGTTAGGGCTGGTTGCAGGTTGAAGGCTAGACCTAAACCTAAAAAGAACAGAACAAAGGGAACAAAAACACAAACACATTATGTCACTCACAAAAGGAATTACTCCTTAAAATGTACATTCAAGTGGGGAAGGCAGAACTAAAAGTGCAAAAGCAGGTAATAATTTTTGACAATTTTAAATATCATGGAATTGTGCATAAACAAAGAGGTTCTCACAACTGGACACTTGATATGTATGACAGCTTCATATTCCTTTCATGTGAAAGCAGAAAAATGAAATCAAGAACATCTACTGATGTTTCTATAATCACAGAATAGGTTGAAATTAAGATGAAATTATTAGTTCTTAGTTATAATCACTTAATACCACAGATAAATTAATCCTCTCTATTTACATAAACCTATTTACATGCATTATATTTATATACGCATATATAGAGTAGGTTCCTCCTTTGTGCGCAAGAGTGCATTTAAATGGGAACACTGTTTTTAAGAGTGGAACAGAGTGAGCAGATTAAAAAGGTTGCTGTTTATGAAAATCTTAGGTCTCTCCAGAGATATTTCTTTCAGAACTGAGCAAATAATAAACAAGAGTAATAACTTAATGCCATTAATGTCAGCTCTACATCTCTCACATTCCACAGTTCATGACTATAGATGCACATGTGTGTTGACTAAAAAATAAAATTTTTGCTTTAAACATTTTATTTCAGAGATTAAAACTCATTCTTTATATGATTCAAAGGTTCCTACTATTCCTACTGATTCCAAGGGAATCCCTTGGCAGTGCTGAGTATCACTTTTGAGAGATGAATTATTTCTTATAGCTTGCCAAAGTATTACTTAGCAATAGTGATGATTAAGTTTGCTTATAAAGCACATAAAATTGATTTAGATAAGGTACCCTTTCCCCTTTAACCTAGGCATTATTCTGTATTAGTTAGGGGTTATAGAAGTAAGAATTCTGCATTTACCAATTTATGTAAATTGAGACAGTATTGCAAAGTGGTTAAGTATTTAGACTCAGGGACAACTCAGTTCTCAGTACAAATACTTACTGCAAACCTTTGATACAAATATTTTCTATGAGTAGGAGGGTCCCTAAAAGCTGACACAAAGGAACTGAGAATGTGCTTTGGAGAGTAACAGGGTAGTATGCTCTCTGATACTATCACAGCCCACACCTGTGAGACATGCAGAATAAGTGTAATTTATAAATAAGAAAACTGTCAGCCTATGGTCAGTGGCTTGTAAATGGAAGAATCCAAATTAAAACCCAGGAATTTTGTTTTGAAGTTCAAATTTCTTTACCTAATGCCACCCTCCCCTAACCCCTGGCCCCATTTGGTCACCTAGAATTTTGCCTTCGGGTGTTAATCCAATTTCTCCTTAGGAGACGGTGGCCATCTATTTCTTATTCTGGCAGGGTAAATGAACATGAGATTTGAAATCCAAAGATCTGAATTTGCCTCGACTATTTACCTATGTACAGTGTTGAACATAACACTTAGACTTCCTGAGTTCTAATCCCCTCAACAACAACAAAAGAGGGTTCTGCCAAAGCCAATAAGTTCTAGAACTGTAAAATGTTACATAATGACATATGATGATAATTATATGCTAGTATTTATTTAAAAGTAACAAAATTCTTGGTACTCTGTGAAGTACTATGTATTCATTTTTTACATGAATCATTCCAGTGACTCCCAAAGTAAAGAGCTTATCATTTTCCCCATTTTAAAGACAAAGAACTGAGATATAAGGAGGCTAATGTGCTAAATTAGGTTTAAAAATTAGACTGTCTACGAAAAAGTACTGGCTGATTATGCCTTAAGATAAATCTCTCATGGCATATTTAATGGTTGACTCTAGAAGCACCAAAGCCTTCAAGACTCAAGAATTGAAGTTAGAATAACATATAATGCTGTTGAAATTTGTGGTACAGTAATAACAAAATCATCTTTTCCATAATACATCTACTTGTGGGCCCAGCCTGACTTCTATGGTCCAATGGTCCAATATAATATATAGTATTTCTGCACAAAGAAAGGACATTCTCTGCAGTAAGAAAATTCCTAGATATAAGATTCTCATTCATAATGTCAAAAGGTGTTTTACCACATCAAAAAGGAAGACAGTCATGGAAAGGTTGTAAAGAGAAAGATTTTAACATCGCTATTACTTTAGGCTTTAATACATCTTATTTTTTTCATCAAATGATACAAAGTTCAAGGTTAGATTGATCTAAAATTACTTTAAAAAGAGAATATATTTACCATTTTTCTGTGAGCCTAAGGAAACGATTCAGTTTCTTTACATATTAAAATCTAATTTTTCTTAAAATTTTGAGTGTAGATTTGTTTAATGCAGTTTACTGTTGAGATTAATAAAAACAGTGTTTTCCAAATGTACATATTTAGGTAGGTTTGAGTCAACAGACATTATGCATGAGGAACAACTGTAATACAATGACAGTATGACATTTAAAAACATGTATTTAGTGGCATATGAGCCTTACAGAGCCTTTAAACAATTAGAATCTTTTGTAAGGGAAAGAAGGGACGGCAATACAGAGCGCTACCACTAACCAGAACACAGACAAAAGGAATTCTGTTAGAGCTAAATCAATGCATGCAGAAAATATCACTGGCATCATTTTTAACCTATAATGAATGATAAGTCAGATACTCTAAAAAGTAATAAGTAATAAAAATAACTTTTAAAAAAAATGAAGCTTTTTAGATGCCGGGAAGTCTGTGTCCATAATACCATCTTAACTAGCTGATGAATAAAGGGTGAAATGGTAAAACTACATCAAAACTGTTTTCTTTTTGACATTGATATCATAGCACCTATTGTATCTGATAACTTGTTTTTTCCATTTCTTGAAATAAGTTTGATTGGCTATTCCAAGCTAGTATTTCAGTGTACTAGATGAAAATACTTTAAGATAGCATCTGATAAAAAAGTAAACTCAAAGAAAACAATACAAATTGTTCTGTTGTTTATGCTTCTTACAGAGCTTTGCAAACAATGGAAGTGTTAAGAGAATAAGCAGAAAACAAAACTTGACTTACCACAAATAAATCCCATCGTGAGGTAAAGCTCTATTACGTTGGTACTAAAAGAGGCTGTGACCATTCCCAAACAGCATAATAAACCTCCTACCATCACCACTGGTCGGCTACCATATTTATTCACCAGAACACTACTTATGGGACCTGAGATAGAGAGGAAATTAAGAAATGTTCAGTTGCTGGGTCATTTACTTATTTTTTTTTTTAAGGTTTTATTTATTTATTTGACAGAGAAAGACACAGCGATAGAGGGAACATAAGCAGGCGGAGTGGGAGAGGGAGAAGCGGGCTTCCCGCCAAGCACGGAGCCCGATGCGGGGCTCGATTCCAGGACCCTGAGATCACGACCTGAGCTGAAGGCAGACGCTTAACGACTGAGCCACCCAGGCGCCCCTCATTTACTTATTTTTAACAGTTGTTAATTTTGAAAGCACATTTTAATGACAAAAGAAAAATATTAGTTCACATAGAATATAATGAAGACTTTTCAATACTTCCTAATCACTTTGATTGGTTATCTTTAACCATATATATGACAGCACATAAAATAATAAATTAGAAGTGTTTACCATATAGTTTATGACCATAACCATTCGACTTTTGATGCAAAGGTTTTCAACAGGACAGAGCTATACTATCCAAATATTTTCTGCCTTCGGCTCAGGTCATGATCCCAGGGTCCTGGGATCGAGTCCCACATCGGGCTCCCTGCTCGGCAGGAAGCCTGCTTCTCCCTTTCCCACTCCCCCTGCTTGTGTTCCCTCTCTCGCTGTGTCTCTCTCTGTCAAATAAATAAAATCTTTAAAAAAAAATGAGCTATTACAAATATTTAATAAATACAAGCAAATTTATGTAACAATCTAGAGATTATAAAAATTACTTGTCTGTGAATTAATTTTCTTTCCTAGAATAATATATTTGCACACACACATAGATCCTCTTAATTAGAGCTTAAGTTGTTTTTTTTTTCATTATACCACAGTATGATTTTTCTTTAATACCATATTTCCTTGACTCTAAGATACCAACAGTTTTCATATCTTACTATGTTAGAAATAAAGATGTCTCACACTTGATGTCTCTTAACAACCCCTGTTCATCAGGTGGTAGTCATAGATAGCAATGTAGTGATCACCGCTTATGCTTGCTTGAATTTGGTTGTTATTTCTGTCGCTTGGTTGGACAATGGCAATTCCTCACACTTCAATCAAACCATTTAAGGGCCATTTGAAGAAGGGATATGAATATGAATCCTGATCATTGTCTAAAAAATCTTCTGTTGACACATTCTGATAATGTCAAGAAAGTACCAGCATCAAAACTTACTGAATGGGTAGAGCAGCTTAGATCAAATTACCAGAGAAAAAAATGGTGGATCTCTCTATTAAGATACGCTGCCTCACAGGCAAACAGAACAGTCTTATGTGTGAAACATGAACACTGAGAACTCGGACTCAAAAACTAATTTAGGAGAGCCAGATACTGAATGGGAAGAGGTTTTAAGAATGCTTTACTCAATTTATTTAATGTACATTTCCCAATGTGTGTGTGTGTGTGTGTGTGTACATATAAAATATGCAGGAGTGATTAAAATGATTAAAATCATCTGTTTAACTATGTCTAAAAAAGCTCTTTTGGTAGTTATAAAATAAAAGTTCTAAATATTAATAAAGTGTTGTGTTTTATTTTAATCACAGCATTTTTGTTTTCTAGTGGTGCATCATAAAATAATGGTGCAACTTAACAACTGAGGTGATCTTAGATTCAGTGAAAGTCCATACTATTTTATGAGACCTGTCGATGTGTAAATAGTTTAATTTGACACTTCCTTCTTAACTTAAAATTATATTTCATCTAAAACAAGGGCCATTGCTTTGAGGGAAAAATATTACATTAGGTCAGAATTCTCAGTCCAATAGTTAGCCTAGAAAAAATTTAAATGATTTTTAGTTAATACTATAACTTAAAAATTTGCTAAGTGCGATTGTACTGCATTTGAGAATTTCTACATAGATAGTATTTAAAATACATTGAGATTCATTTGTCAATACAGCTTTATTCTTTCACACAACTATAGTTACTATTTTTATTCCTTAAATATAAGTTTGAAATAAAAACTTCATGGCCTAATATTACTCCACAATATCTTTTGAAAACATATTGGTAAAAACACATAATTTGACAAAAAACCCTCAAAAATAGAATACTACTTTTGCATTTAATACCCCCCCCAAAAAAACTAAAAAGGGCCATATGAAAGACAGCTCTATAAAAACAACAGAGTTGGGGGAGAAAAATCAATGAAAATTGTACAAGATAATGTGAAAAGAATAGATTTCTGTCCTAATATGGTATAAACTCATATGATTTAGAAAATTTGCATTTTCATTAAAAAGCACATACTTAAATTCAAATGGCCTTTCTGAGAAACGAATTGATTAGCCTTGATTAATTATTGAACTTAAGTGTGGGTTCCTTTTCTTAAAATTATTTAACAGTTCACTTTACTTCAATTTAACTCAAATCAGTTCAATGCACTATTTCTTGAGCTTCTAGTATAAAACCAGTTGATACATGCCAAGTATAAAATAATAAAAACACATCTATAATCATCAACCCATTATAATACAGAGGGAGAAAATATCAAGTTATTTTAAGAACTGTGATGGATGCTTTGATAAATACCAGACTATCAGAATGAATCCAAAGGCATTTATCAATTACTTGGACTAAATTTTTTCAGTACCATTGATATTATATATACCATTTTCTATGTGATGCCTGGATAACTCACAAATGTACTAATTACTAAATTTTATAAATGTGTTTGCCTAAATGGTGTAAATTTAAATTTGAGCATAGGTGATGAATCACAACTTAATTTGCAATGTGTGGCAAATAATTATATCTACAGTTCAGAATAACCACATCAAGGCTTTTTTTTCCACGACTGTGATTAAGAGTGGCCACTAAAGAAAACATTTAGAGGTGTTGATTTTTTTTTTTTTTTGAAGAGACTGATAATTTCTACTGTGGTATCAGTCAAGATGCAATGAGAGTTCTAATTTTAACAAATGATTTTACTTTAAATAATACACTTTAATTAAGTGATGATCTATTAGATAATCTATAAGGCATGTATTTACATAATTCATCTATAATCTTTTTCTAGCAAAAAAGATATACTTTTTAAGTTGATTTGTTTAGAAATAATCAAAGCTCCTTACCCCTTAATATGAAATGCTTATAAAATGTCATATAGACTATTTCTAGTTTGTAATAGTTGTAGATCTAAGTGAAATTATGATACAGAACAAAATATATTTATTTTGTAAAGAATATTTAAATGCTTAACATTAGCTTGAGGAGGCATCTAACACTAGATATATAACACAAAGCTATCCAATACCTCTCTCTCTCCAACCTACAAGCAGCTTGGTTTATTGTATTAACAAGAAAGATGGAGTTTCAGGAAAATAAATAAATTCTCATCACATGTGATTTTTGTTAAACATGAGCTAGCCTCACAGGTGTCCCTTGTTCATGAATCTTAGGCCTAATTATATCCTGAGGTCATTTATTCATTTATCTATTAATTCAATCAGGATGGAAGCTTTTACTCAGCATATGTTTTTCAAGTAATCATGATGTTTAATCATTAGTTAAGTCAAAAAAGAAAATTCTTTACCTGCCGAGAGTTACATCTGAGCCCATATCTAAATAGAGCAAAGGTGTACTGTTCATCCGAATGCTTTGTTCTATTTGTTTGTAGAGCGGTTAAAAAAAATGATGTGCAAGAATAATATTGTCTTATTTCCAAAAACGTTCACGCAAGTATCAGACTATATCTGAACCAGACGGATCTACCTACTGATTTCTTCTGCTGAGCTTTCCAAACTATCTCGGAATTTTTGGTGTCAAGTTTAAGAGTCACTTTCACGCTAGCTGTGAAGCTGTAAAGGAGGACTTCGTCAGAGAGCAGGGGAAGGATCACAATGTCGTCACCCATACTTCAGCTGCTTCTTTGTTTTCTGAAAGCTACCTCTGTCTTTTAATGGCTGTGACTCCAATAACACTTATTCTGTTAAAGAAGCTTATGTGTGTTCTTATAAATTATAGAGAGTGTTTGCCCATTCTTAGAACTCCTGTTGCACTTACAGTTGGTCACACACACACACCCCACAACACTTATTAATCCTCTATTTCATTTGTTTGAGTCTTGTTCCTACATCCTATTCTAAGCTCTGGGATGGTAGTTGCCATATAGACTGTTATTATTCTATTATTATTCGTTAATTTATTGAGTTATTACTCTTTGCAGGCAGTGTGCTAAGAACTGTGCATGCATTTTGCATAAGATTTTCATGGCAATCTGATAATTATAGCAATGTAACAGTTGATAAAACTGAGACATGCAAAGGGTTGATAACTTGTTCAAGGTCACAACAATATAAGCGGTAGAATGTGGATAGGAGCCCAGAGTCATCTGATTATAAAACTTGTACTTTTCACTACTGTGCAGAAAAGAATTAACATATCAGGTATGAGGCTTCCATCCTCAGAAAGGCCTGATTGCAAGGCTGGCTTTTGGCTGGCACCTGGGAACTTGGGGTTTCAGAAGTGTTTCCACTATTCCCTAACTGATAAGAGTGGCTCACTGTGCCTAAACCGTTTCACAAACAATGTGGTTTATGCTGAACATCTGTCTTCCTTCCCAGAGTGTGGACTTTTAGGCATGCAAGACAGAGAATGCCTATATGGCCAGCAACCCAACAGAAACCTTAAGCACTTGAGTCTCTAATGAGCTTCCTGATAGACAACACTTCAGCTACGTTGTCACAACTGGTTGCTGGATTAAGTCTATCCTTTGTGATTCCATTCGGAGTGGACTCTTGGAACTTTGCATCTGGTTTCTCCTGCACTTTGATCCATGTGCTTTTCCCATTCCTGATATTGTTTTGCATTCTTTCATTGTAATAAATCATAGTCATGAAAAAGACATTGTTGGGTCCTGTGAATCTTCCCAGTGAATCATGAAACCTGAAAGCGGTCTTGAAATATCTCTTCTAATTTCGAGTTTTGCATATAGTTATAAGCAAGTGATTTTTTTTGTTAAATATTTTAAAAATGTATGACCAACAATA